AAAAAATTTATGTGGGCTGGAGAGTCCCATCCACCGCTGGCTACTGAACTCTGCCACACCCGTGTCTCTAACCCTTGGCCTCTGGCCCCATTTGCAGGAGCTGCGGGGGCAGAATGGCAGCCGGGCGCAGGGCGCAGGGCGCAGGGTTCAGGGTGCAGCGTGCAGAACCACCCAGCCCTGCCTCCACGCCTGGGCTGCGGACACGCTGCGTTTGGGACTCCGCGGGAAGTGACTTATCCCTGCATGTGAGAACTCTGCCTTCGCAGTGATACTACCAGGGATCCCTTGGCGGGGTCTTGGGGTCCCCTTTCTCTACACTGATGGAAACGGGGGTGGAGCCCTGATGTCCTCGTCTCAGCAGCCTGAGAGTGCACAGGAGGTGCAGGAGTGTTGGAAGGAACCTGGTCTTAGCCCCACCTGTGCCAGTACAGCCTCTTGCCCGCCTCACCTCCGCTCCAGGCATGTTCTTCGCTCCCGCGGCCTCTCCCGCACCATGGCCTCTGCCCCCTCCTCCCTCGTGGCTGGAAAACAGCCTGAGGCTCACAGTGGGCCTCGCAGGCTGGGGGCTACAGTCATTCTGTCCTGAATCGTCTCATACTAAACCACCAGGGCACAGATCCCAGCTCATCCTTTTTTAAAAAATTATTAATATGATTTTATTGATTTCAGAGAGAGGAAGGGGGAGGGAGAGAGAGAAACATTAATGATAAGAGCGAATCATTGAACGGCTGCCTCCTGCACGCCTTCCACTGGGGATCGAGCCCGCAACCTGGGCATGTGCCCTGACCAGGAATGGAACTCTGACCTCCAGGTTGGTGCCCAACACTGAGTCAGTTTGGCCAGGTACCAGCTCCTCTTTAATGAAATGTGCCCTGACCAGGAATGGAACCCTGACCTCCAGGTTGGTGCCCAACACTGAGTCACGTTGGCCAGGTACCAGCTCCTCTTTAATGAGTCCATCCTCTTGCCTCTGGCCCAGCCCCTCACCTCCACACCTTAATGAGGGGTCATGTGCCCAAAGCCACCCACCAGTCCCCTCCACTGACCTAGCAACTCCCTCCTCCTCCTCCCATATCAGTCTCCACACAGGCCACTCTGAGCTGGGTGGTCCATGCAGCTGTCCCTCCCTCCCGGCCCAGCTGGAACACTGCTCTGACCTTGTCTTCTCCATCCTGCCCTTAAGTACAGGCCACGGGGTGGGCCATCTGAAAAGGAGCTGGATGCTGAGGAGATGAGAGGGCCACGTGTGCCCAAGCTCCGTGCTCACTCCCAGACATACATGCTGCGGCGGCTTCCAGGG